TTATGACCATGATGATAAAGATGCTGTCCTCTCTTTGCATATGGTCTGACCGTTGGTGTCTTCAGGAGTAGATCTATTGGTCATAGACTAGGCCGGGCCGCCTCCGTGGTCTAGTGGATAGAGCGTATGCTATAGATACCCAGCCCCGTCATATCGAAAGACGTTTCAAGTTGGTTCTTGTTGTTACCTTGCACGATGCTCTGTATTGAGGAAATATAACAAGGATTGGTCGGCTCGGAGTCTGAATATAGCACTATAAAACCGACATTAGTCAGGACACGTGCATGCACCTTTTGAACGCGACGTTAAACCCAATTTCGCCACACCTCTGAATACTGTTGTTTAAATCAATGACTTAATCTGTGTCTGGTGACCGTGACGATATATCTTTGGTCCGGAGCCGGAGAAAGTGAAGGTCTCACACTTGTCCTAGCCAGGGTGAGGCTAGGTTCTTTAGGGGTCCAACACATCAACGACTACGCCTATGCGCTGACCTGGTATACATTTAGCTGTATAAAGTAAAATTGTGTATTGTGAGAACCGTACATGAGAACCGATCCGTTGCATGTAGCAATATGAACTAATCATAATGAACGTTAGAAACGCACCTACCTAAATGCGCCACGGTGTGTAACATCATTCTCTGGCTATCATGTGGTTACCACCGTACCCAAATCTATACAGCGTTTGTCTTGCTTGTTTTGTTGCTGAGGCCAGAGACCATATACTGAGGCCAAAACATAAACATGACGTTGCGTTAGCAATGAAAAGTAAAGCAAAAGCCACTCCATCAACATAAGATTCACATGGACTGCTGTCAATGGTAGATATGCGCATCACTTTGTTTCCTTTATGAATGTGTACATAAGAAATGCAATTTTAACGCTGAATGATTTTATGAAGCATTTGTAGCATAATCCAAGATTAATACTATTATCACGGTTATTGTATTGCTGTATGTTGTAATAAACTGATAATAAATTAGGTATTTGAAAGGCATTTAGAAGTGCTACACACGAGGAAGAGAATATATGGATGTCAACTTCTTTATCATGAGGAACACAACGTTTCGGAGTATATGCTTACTCCTTCATCAAGTAAATGAATGCAATGAGACAGAGAGCATATATACGTACATGTAAGGACCACAAAATTAAAAAGGTAACAAAAGGTGGAAAAAACAAAGGGTAGAAACTAACAAGGGAAGCCAACAGATGATTGGCGCTGATGAGTGATCATCCATCAGCGTCAATCATCTGTTGGCTTCCCTTGTTAGTTACTCCGAAACGTTGTGTTCCTCATAATAAAGAAGTCGACATCCATATATTCTCTTCCTCGTAATCATAAATTGTTTTACAGTTATAAATTACGAGTTCTTTTTCCGTAATTGCGAAAGATTCATATCGGCTGCAGGGGAGATTGAAAACTTGTCTACCTCGAGATGTCAGTTTCTGAGCGCATCTCTAATTTTAACATCCTTTTGCCGCTGGGCCATTAATAATTCAAATTTATTGCAATGGCAATTTCTCTATCAAAACCTGCTCCAAGTTTATTTTTTGCTCATGTGGGATTATCTCACATACTATTTCAAGAGACGTGCCTTCCATAAGAGCTGAAAGATCATTAATTTCTCGTTCGAGGAACAATTTCCATAAAATGCCACTTAAGACATCTCAATATTCACGGTGCGAGGAGCTGCCTCAAGAGAGCAACAAGTTTTCTGACAGTGTTTCAAGTTCAAAACAGGCCGTGAAAGTGTGAAAAGACGCCAGTGGCTTATTCATTCAACAAGTGATAAAATGATGTTATATCGATTAACAATAAACATGAACTGCAACTAAAATAGCTGGATATGAAAGAATCCCTTATGGAACAGGAAGGGTTTTAACTGAATTGATGAAATATTTTGAAATATACTGGTGCAAGACGTATAAATCTTCTTGGGAATGTAACAAAAACTAAAGAAATTATACGTTTATTCCTGCTTTCTCAATTATATAGATAGCATTGCTTCTGAAAGGTCTGCTAGTATCTTGTGGCGAAAAGATTAAACGATGAAGTCCTCAGGGTAACGGCAAATGTCCTGTTATAAAGTACTGCTGCTTATCACACAGAAAAAGGACGTCAATATCACCAGGCTGTTTGTTAGAGGATTAAGCGTTTATAGAGGTATTTTTATCAACCGAAAATAGTTTCAAAAGGTCACGTGTGTTTAAAGGTTAAAGGTAACGAATATTCGAATTCGTGTAACAATAATTAATACGAAGACGAAAATATGCATTCCATATTTTCATTTAGAAAGTATCTTACATGATAACATATTTTAACTGTGAACCATGATGGTCCATCATGGCCATGATTCCAAAGTCTTGTTGAAAGAAAAGTCGGTCAGACATATGGCTGTTAATTCTCTGTAAATTAGGGGCTTCCCGTCTTTACACTGGGGATTAGGCAAGAGTGACTGCTGACAGAAGTTTCAGTGTTATCTTGACTGCTTCCTAACAGTGTACACTTAAGAACTATTTTCTACAAATTTAGCTCGGGTATGTGTCTAGTGAAACGTATCCTGCACTTCATTAGTATAATTGAGCAAAAGAACATACTGGTTCTTAAATTGGACGTTCCATATATAATGGGTTTTGGCATTCCAAACTTAAAAACTTCTACAGCGAGACGATGGTGGTGAAATGGAGTTTAAAGACGTTCACTCATGCAAGTGTTTGTGTTTGTGTGTGCGTTTGTGTGTGTGTGTGTGTGTGTGTGTGCGCGTGCGTGCGTGCGTGCGTGCGTGCGTGCGTGCGTGTGCGTGTGTGTGTGTGTGTGTGTGTGTGTGTGTGCTGGTTATATTTCCATAATACCAAACGCCAGGTAGGGTAACAAGTACCATCTTTTAACGTCTTTTAGTATGGCGCGGCCGGGGATCTAACAACCGACCTTCCTATCTCCAGGCCGATATCTATCCACTATACTACGGAGGCGGTTTCTTACCAAAAGACACACTGTTGAAGAAACCAGATTTACAGTTTAACAATAGTTTCAATGGTACCTGTAAATTACAAACACCTTTAATAACCAAATTGTTGTTCCAGCCGAGTCCATAAATGGTGGACGGCCTGTTCAGGATGACTCACGGTTCCAGGGAGAAATGTTTTATAAAGGATGATCTCTACATCCGTCAAGTATTAACTGTGAAAAAAATTTAAAGCTGTGTAGTGGCATAGGATTGTTTCACATCTGCAGGCACTTCCAAACCCGTATATGGCCTCGACCCATTTGCCTTAGTGTTGGCCCACATGTATTGCAGCATACGGAAGATATGGTGGAGAATGACCTTCTGGCAACAACGACACAACTCAGGGCGACGCAATACATACCAGCTGCCCTCACGTACGTTGGTTTTGACACGAAGATGTGTATTTGGCAGCCCAAGAGCTTCTATAAACTAGACACTGGGTCGACTGAAGTCCCTTTTTATACCCATAACATAAACCTTCAGCACTGCAGGTCTCCAGTTTAAACAGTATATACCAAAAGGATCTTGTGGCACATTTTTGAAAGAATTATAGTGTTGATGCTTTCCTACTTAACACAGTTTGTTTCTTCGTTTCCTATCTTAACATTCCACACGCTCATCATCGACGTTGGCGTTACCCTACTGAATTTTTTCTATTTTTCAAACAAGGTTTCTATAAACAACCTCGCCTAATACCCCGAGTTTCCGAGTTAGCAGTTGAGAAGTAAACGTTCAACTGGCTACATTTGACAGCTGTGGTTTTATTTTTTGCTCGTTCTGTCTACCTTTGAAATGAGTTTGATGAGTAGATAACACATGCATTCAAAACTCATCTCCCATTTCGAGATTAGTTACGTGACTGTCCTTTTTGTAACGATCGGCATCTGTAGTCTTATAAACGAACGTGGAATTTAGAGAGGACCAAGAACAGCGAGAAATTCTATATGTGACCATTGTGCTGTAAATACCAATGTCATCGTCCTTAGAAGTGACTGACCTTGAATAAAACACGGTGTGGTTTTATAATTACTGCATGCTGCAGACACAGTGATGTAGTTATTAGTACATAGAATCACGAAAATGTTGACACTATGGTGAGGTATCCGGTATGGACTTGCTTGTGTGAAGTGTTATTCCATACTTTACATCGGTGTTCTACAAGAACATAACTGCAAGACTCTTCTTCCATTTTCCTTCACGTAATAATAAAATGGGGACTCTGTTGTTGATGATGATGATGATGATGATGATGATGATGATGATGATGATAGTGATTTTGTGTTTAAACGTTGCATTTTATCGACAAGTAACATTATCCATAAAATGTCACATAAAAAAAAGAAGGGCAAGAATCACTTACTTCACTAAAGCTGTAAAAGATTTCAACAAACATTCAAACAAAAGCCATCAACGCCCACACCGTGGCTTGCCTTCATGGTCTTCCTGAGTTAAGAAACAAAGCAATGGACACCATACCCTGGAGGGGGATATTGGATTCAAAGAGCATCCTGTGAACAATCCGTCACACGTACTCTTCCTCAGCTAATAATGGATCACCCAGTGGCATTGTCCAATCATTATCTAAGCCAATATGTACTTGCTATTGATTGGCTTGAATGATAACTAACTTAAACACATTATGTCGGAGATGTACCAGAAGCGTGACCCTTTCATGAAACTGGAGAACATGTAAAGTTCTCATTACGATTCAGAGGCTGTTCTCTTGTTTATATTGCTCACTGTAATCTGAAATCATTCTAACTCACACCCTCCCTTACCAGCATTCGCCTTCAGCCATATTCAAATGTTCTTTGCTGAAGAAGAGTTTAGAATATGTTTGACATTCTGGTAAATGACGTTGGCATGGTCCTTTCCTTGCATGTCAATAACTTTGTGGGATGGTATGACACACGCCCTCATGTCCAACTGCCACGCCCCTTTGATTACATAAGAAGCACATGTGTATCACAATGCATGGGTAACTTACGTGGTCTTTGCGATGGCTTTGTTGTGACCGTTCCTCCGCGACCCAACTGTGCATGTATAAAACCTGAAAATAAAGGAAACCACTTAAAACATTTGTTTCAAATCGTCAAAGCCTTAGGGACATTCATAATCGTATATCTGTCACATAAATACAACATATGTAGAAATGCTGTTGTTTTCTCTAGATGTACTTAATGGACGTGACACATTTCCCGCTTCATTGTTATTCCCATTTGTCCATTTGTCTTAAATAACCATTATGATGTCACAAAAATCCAGCTGTATGATGTCGGACAGTAAACAATCGAGTCTAGACCAGTCAGACAAGTGATTGATGTCACGAGCAACGTCTCATTCCGTTGTGGTACGATGTCCGCAATGAAACAAGTCACCGAGACAGACTACCGATTCATATTGTCGCCTCTTACACGCTAAACTTGATGACCATTTCCAACCTGGAATTCTTGAATCCCCACGAGGTTAATATTTGATGGCAGAGTGTGATTCTTAGTAACATCAGATATATTCATGTTCAAAGCTGTTTGTTTAAAGGATGAAAGAGTGTGTTGAACGTTTCATTTTCAAACTTTGTTGAAGGGGTTTTGTGTGCAAAGATATGCTGAGGCAGGAATATTCCAAGTTGAAAACACACAGTGCTTAAATTGTTAGGATGTATTCCTGTGTAATAAAGTACAACTATTACATGTGCTTGTTAGTGTAATAGTGTGGCCTTGGGCAAGTGACTTAAACATGGCTCTGTACTTGGGCTGCAACGAATACACTATGAGGCGAATATGATTCATATCACGAATATAGGGTGAGGAATACGAATATTAATTCACAATTATAATAACAAGTCAGCAGTTTATGTATCATTTATTGTAATCAGTGAAACAATAACATTATAATTTATTTGACATGGTTTGTTAATTATTAATAAATTATACATTTATATACTGCACTTATCCAGGTACTAGTATCTGCTCAAATGCGACAATGACCAGTGAAAACAATACTATCAAATTAAATATTATTAGAGTGTTGTCATTGAAAGAAATCTATGCATATAATATGTTGTTATGGAGATTTTTAGGTACAGGGTATGTAAATATACATGATAGCATATTCATAAATATTCAATTCTAGTGGCCATGAATAACGAATTCAATTCATGAATGGTTACGGTTCGATTCACCGAATACGCGAGTGAATCGTAACAGCCCTACTCTTCCAGTGAATGGGTACCCGGTAGGATGAGATGGTCAAGTGAATACAAATAGAAATCTTGTAGCCTTCAAAGGCAGCTTGGCCCCAGAGAGCCGATAATATACATGTACTTTGAGAACACTGATTCATTGACTGGGGTAATCATGACAAATTATTATGAATATGAATATTATTTGTAGTAGAAGTAGTAGCAGCAGCAGTAGTTGTAATAGTAGTAGTAAAAACCAACTCTCACAAATCATTGTAAACCCAGTACACTAATAACAGTAAGACTTAGTAAAGTTTAGGGACACTTCTAGATAACAAATGACTTTACAACTCTCTAAAACTATGGGCATCTGTTTCATTTTTAGGTTTTCTGTAATGGATCGTTGAGAAAGTTGAGCTTTGTTTCATGAACAATAATTTGGAAGAGACGGGCATTGGAAACTTCTTCAACTATTAAAGAATCACGTTCTCGTACTTAAATTGCATCATTACTATAAATCTGAATCTGAGAAGTAACAAAACGGCAAATCACCGCGTTCCTTAACTTATCATTGTCCCAATATAGGTATTACAGCGAGTAAAGTTGATGTTCTCAGGTCTGTTACCGTAAATCATGAAGAGTATATGAGCATGTTATGTTCCAATGTTCGTTTTATTAGCATAAAATAGTCATCTTTCAGAACAAGGCTTCTACAAGTGCTAGAAAGACGTTGACTGACGAGACTGCTTGAAAAACACGACGTCGAGCCGGATGTGCATGACAGAAAGTCTCTTGGCAATAAATGTGTTTTCTGAGGTGTAATTTATAACACTCGCACTCTTCCATGTTGACTATGTTCTGAACTAAGTTCAAGCGTAGCTAAAGTTAGGAAACATTTTTACCTGAGGCAAACGCACGATTATATTCTGTTTCATGATTCATATTCTGTTAAAGCACACTAAGACAATTTAAATACAACATTGACGTTCGTGTGAACATACTTATATAAGAATGCACTGTCAAACCAGATGAACTTATTTCTAGAAAAACTGTTTACATGCACTGTCCCACAAGCAAATTCGGTAAGATTTGAACGTTTTTATTAGTATGATAACACGATTGCCGAGACCCTTTTATCTCCTTGTTATCATGGACGCACCGACCCGTCTCTGTTCCTACCTAAGGATACATGCATAGTTGATACTACCTTGAACTGAATCAACTCGGTTGCACATAGGTGAGTAAACACAGATAACATATCTGTCAAATAGTCATGTTTTCCATCTGAACTGAGATAACGAATCGAGATCAGGGTGGCACGAACGTGATGTGATTAGTTGACAGCCGGTCATACCAGTAAGGACATGGCTTCCAATAGCATTGCCTTCCTAGTGTATAAGTATTAGTTTCTAATAGTATAAGTATTGAGTGCTTGATTATTGTGGAACCTTCTTATACCACCTCTAGTATTCCGGACTTTTCGGATCATTGCGTTTGACATGAAATGAGTGAGAATTGTTTTAAGTCGCGTTTGGTAATATCCCAGTCGTACCAAGGCGGTGGTGTCACGGACTTTATACATTGCACCCAGGTGTAAATCGAGTAAGTTGGGTATAACACCGCTTTGAACAGAATTTCAGTGTTCTAACGATGGTTCAGCTTAATGTTGGAGGAGGCCATTCACCGCTTTGGTAAAACTCCCGTGCTTGGATCATTATCTGACAGAAACTGTTATATGAGCAATGGTGAGCGGATCAAGGCACGGCTAAAGATGAACTCTGCATGAACTATTTTATGTCTTGGTCTACCGTGCCCCCTGTGGAAACGAACCAACGTCTTCGTCGCGATGGACGTTCGATTTTACCACTGGTAAAACACGGATGTGCTTTATCCGAACTCCATCTGATTAATCAAATAATTATTACACAAACTCCCTGGAGTCTTTTCTATAAAAATAGCAAATGCCATCGACAATGTCCCAAACGCTAAAGAGGAGGAGGAAGAAAGAGATGTCTCTAATTAAGGTTGCTCCTTGAAAATAGAATGTCCCTGCTGGCGTTCCATCTCCAGATCATGTCCAATAAAAGATGAACGCTAATCTCACCACTGCTGGTGTCTACTCATTTGGAGCGGGTCTATACCCTAAAGCTGGCCCTACCAGCTGAGACAATCACCACTGATAGATCAATTAGTCGGTGTCAGAGTAAACCCTCACCAGCTTCCTCCACCGTCCACACCCGTAGTCTGGGACACGTAGGGTTTCCAAATCACACGATCGAAGACGGACAATCTGCAGAGCCAATATACTCATCCAGCTAGTGTATTTGCTCATTTGTTTCAAAAGAACCAATCTATATGTGCATAGGCCATCTGATGATATTCAAACAAAGACGCAAGTTGCCCACGTTATTGACGCCTAGAACCTAACACAGGATCTTATAAGGCAGATGATCCTTGGTCTAACAAACCACGCGCAAAGAGAGCCGAGTGATATTTGTTAACTGTCTTCAGCCGGTATTACCAACTGATCGTGGCGATCTACAATGATGCCTAAGAAAGGTTTGATTTAGTGATAGCTAAGCGTGATGCTCTCTTTAGTACTACATTTTCCCGATGGCTCAGAAATGATCCCTGGATGACTACATGCTCCAATTGAATCAGAATAATGTAAACGTTTGCAGTTTACTTCGTGAAGTTGTTCCAACATTTTACGTAACTCGATAATGCGATAATAATATATCAAACAGATGAAGGCAAATAAACGAAGAAGATTTCAAATAGAATAATTCTTAACATACATCAGGGGAAATTGTATTTCACGCCTTGCCAATTTTGTCTACCGCTAAATGCATTCTCAACATGACTCTATCGATCATAGGTGGCTAGCAGATGAGGTGGTATCGCAGGCAAAGTGGGAGGTTAGGTCAATAGGAGACCCCTTGAAATGTCAGATAATCAACACAAACAGCACGAGACAGGATTAAATAAACATCAAAGTCTGGCGGCAGAAAATAAACACATATTCACGACATCCAGTATCATCGGTTTACGGCATTGTTGTCAACGGTCGAATTTACGGCAACACTTCCTTCTCTATTCCCTTTACCCGCCATACATAAACACGTATAAATGGGAATATATGCATAAATCATAATTGTACGAATAGAACAGATTAAATACTGTGCCAATCAGGTTAAAGATACAAGATGTGTCATGAAACAAATATCTGAAAATCGTATGGAAGGCGGTATGAATTTTCGATAAAAATGATGCACATTTCACGTCATTAAGATGAACACACAACACATTTAAATTTTCGAAATAAATCGGAGAATTTAAATTGAACCAAACTGACGTGTTGACTAGAGGGGATAATAAGACCTTCTGTCGTGACACATAAACGAACCTTTATCATAATTGTCGTCTCAATATGAAGCCAAAAGGTTGAGATGATTGAATGAGTTGTGTTTGACGCTACCGTATTCCAGTTGTATCAGGTAGCACCAATAAAAGTAGTTACAACTTAATGAAACTTCTCAGACACCAAGTCTCATTCAGGAAGAAACCGAGATTCAAACCCACGATCAGCAGATCCTGACATGGCAACGAGACTTAACTCTGCAACGCGAGTTGGCCGACTTGGCCAGCCGTGCAACGTGATTGTAACGTAACATGCCACTAACAATGATGTACATGAAGACTGATTGAACGTCTAATGCAGACCAACAAGATGAGATAGGTCGCTATCACTTTACAACTTTAAGTTTCCAAGCTTATTTCTCTTAACATCAGTCACAACAAAACGCCCTGGTCGGCAGATCAAAGCAGAAATGGGATTACACGTAACGTAATAACGTTCAAAAACAAAC